GTGTGTGTTGGGTGTGTGTTGTGTGTGTGTGTGTTGGGTGTGTGTTGTGTGTTGTGTCTGTTGTGTGTGTGTGTGTTGTGTGTGTGTACACGCCCGCACATGCGCCTGCTCGCGCAGCTGTGCATTCGTGCATGGTTGTATGGTCTGTAGGGTTGTAAGCATATTGGCACATAACATAACATATATGTGTATGCATGTAACATCATGTAACCAATGCAAGCAGGCGCGAGGCCGGCATGCGCACAACCATGAGTGCCCGACCGATAGCCGCGGCGCGCACGTGCAGGTTCATCGCATGCATGTAGGCCCGCAGGCATTGTCTGTAGGCTTACCGTGCATGCTTGTAGGTCTCTCTCTGAGGCCTGCTGCCGGCGCCGTTGTTTCAGGCCTTGGAGGCCGATGCGGCGCCAAGCCAGGTTCTCGCGCCTAGGTTGAGAGTCTAGGGCCTAGGGTTTTTCAGTTGGATTTAGGGTTGGCGTTTAGTTGGAGTTCACAGGGGTCTGTTCGGATGGGTTCTTGTGGGGGAATCTGGGCGGCATGCTCACCCCCAGCATCAGAAATTGTGCTTTGAAACGGTCTAGCCATTACCCGGCATCGTGCTTGTCATCATCGCCCCCGGGCTCTAAGCGCCAGACCGAATGGCCTCCTCGTTGCCTTGCTTGGCCTCCAGGGTTGCCTCCGCCCAAACCTGAGAAATATCGGCACTTCGAAGGCTTTGATACCAAAACTTGGGACTTCAAGGGGAGGTCAGGCTGATCGGGGCGCATCGCAACAGAAGTCCCTGCTTAGGAATCCTGATGGTGATCGTGCCTGCTTCAGAGCTGGCGACTCCATCTCCAACATTTTTCCCAAAGCCGGGCTGCCTGGAGATGATTATCTTCAGGCAGCGAGAAGCACACCGTAACGACAGGAAAATTCCGAAGCCGGGCTGCTGCAATTCTCTTCTGCGTTTTCCACATTGCTGAGGTAAAGCAAGTTGCCTAGCAAATGTCGGGCACTTGCTCGTCAACGTGTGTGAAGACTGCCGCCATGAATAATGATTCAATTCAACGCTGGGCAAGAACTAATTAACAAAGTCCTAGTCGAGCATACCAATGGCAACGACAGTCGTGTTGAACGATCTTGTAAGTATGTTGAAGCTGCAGTATGTTGCAGTATCTCGGACTCATCTTCGGTCGAGAATCCAATTGCAACCGCCACTGCTGCCACAATGTACAGAAACGCGTCTGGCGTAGATTCGCTGCACCACAGAGCAACGAAAACTTGGCACATACCTGCCAGTCACTTTACTTGCGATCCGACCTACAAAACACTTGAGTCACTGCAGATTCGGTCCATCACTCAGACTCTCCTAAAACCCTAAACCCTAACCCGAGGCCCTAAACCTTCAACGAGCTTAAGCCTGGAGTGCTTGCACGAGCGCCTGCAAAGCCCTGCACCACCTGCGCCAACTGCACTGTTGGGGATCGGCTCGCCAGGGCAGATGCAAGCCCACGTGCGAAGAAGTGGAGCACAACACCTTAAAGGACGAGTTGCGGATGCAATTTAACCCACACCATCCCAGCCCCTTCATCAACAACAACAACAGGAGCTTGCCTGATGCTAGCCTTGAGCTGAGCCAGTGGTCTTTGTCACCTAAGACATCGCACGCTTCAGTACCATGGACTGCATCACAGAGACTAGAGACTTCTGCTGCACCGCTGGGACAGCGAGCCTCAGGTCCAAGTCAGCCGAGTCGCTTAAGCAGATATGGATGTGATGCGAGATTGACTGCCAGAAGGGTGGGAAGAGAATCGTCAGCGCAAATAGGTGCGTAAACAAGGTGTACTCCTGAATGCTCCCTCCATATCTTTGGATGAAGTTCCTGAACAGGCGGAACGCTGCGTACTTCTGATGGCATACAGCCTCACCTTCTCCTGTGAAGACTCCTCGAAAACCGTATCGCTGGCATGCAAGGCAATCTGAGATCTGACCCCTTGTCATATGGCTTTCAATACTAACTTGGTACTTGCTACCCTCTTCTTTATAATCTACATATAAAATTCCTTTTGAGGGTCCGCATCAGTCTCAGCTCGACCGTCTGGAGAAGCGTCGCGGTCAGTAGCCGGCAGAGGCCATCCACTAAGACTTCCATGTCAGCGGTCAATGCGGATTTTATGCACCTTGGAGACCGTGTATGTGTATAGAAATATGTAAAAATAAAATATATATGTATGTGTGTACATGAATACATACATGTGTTACATACCTACGTATCTACCTACCTACTGTTACTACCTACCCACCTACCTACCTACCTACCTACCTACCTACCTACATACATACATGCATACATACATGCATACATATGCACATACACACCCACACACACACACACATGCATGTGTGCATGACATATCTGCATATATATATATATATGCACGTCCGCGTTGTCTGTATACATCCCGACCGACCAACCGACCGACCTACCTACCTAGCGTGCGTGCATACATTCATTCAGTGCATTGCATCTTACATGATGTGTAAAATTCTGGTTTACACTTCAGCCATGTTCGAGTTGGAGCTGCGCCAACTTTTCGTCACTAAGCACCGGGCACAATAAGGATGCTGCTCGCAATCATCGAGGCTCCCAGATATTGCACAAGGGTGTACTGCTTTCCGCAGAAACAAACCCTCAGCACAAGACCCAGTGGCATCCGGATATTGGAAACCTCAGAGGCATCCACGCGATCGCTTGCACAACTCTGCGGTCAGTGCTACACAACTGCACATGCCAGGTGGCTAGGAAGCAGAAAGCTATGGGAAGACTTTCATAGGCTCGGCTTTTCCTCGGCTGATCTGATGGTTCGGCTGTCTGAATGAAGGTGTGGTCTGATGGCTCCAAATCAATGCAGCCGGCCGTCAAAAGCACCGAGCAACACCAAAACGCCCCCAGGAGCAGGTAAGTTTGCCAGGGACCTCTCCGTGTTCGAAGGATGAGGCCCAGTCTTGGCAGATACCTTTGCCACGCGAAGCTTCAGCTCAGAAGAGGGAAGAGTCACAAAGAGCCACTTGGTTGCACGCATGATGACGACCGTCAGCTGCAGAGCAAAGCTGAAAAAAAGAGCGCTGTCCTTGCCAGATCTTGCCAATGTGCTGATGAGTATGACCCTCGTTACATGTCCCCCAAGTCCTTCTGGAACTTGGCGATGCGAGCAAACGGAGGCACACAAAGTCCCGACCTGAGCCACACAAAGGAAGCGCCATCAGCAAGTAGCTGAGGGCCCCAATCTGGCTAATTCTGGACAGGCCACATGAACATGCAAAAGACAGCGAAGGGCCAAAAGTTCCTCGGGGCCGACTTCCAAATGCCCGGCGCCTCGGAGCAGCTATGCGGGCTCTGTAGCAATTAGTTGACATGTATGCGCGTTCTATTGGTGTACGTGATTATACGTGTACGTGCATACATACCTGTGTTTTGATGGTCCCAGGGGCCGGTCGACGGTAAAGGTTCCGCACCACGTCGCCACCGAGCTCCTCGCATGCTTTCGTTGCTGGGGGCTCGTGGTTCGCGACAGAAGCAGCAACCCCAAACCCATCTAAGTCTATGGTTTATTGTTCGCCCTTTTCGCCCGCAGACACAGCTGAGTATTTGCCCTAGCTGTTTTAGTAGTTACCCTAACCCATCTTACGGTTTAGGATTTAGGGCGTAGGGATCCAATCTGCAGTTTGCCTCGCCTCGATCAAAGGGGAGGTGTTTGCAGCATCCAGCACCGGCATCCGCAGCAGAAAGCCTGGAATCGAAGACTGTGACCCAAACACCCAACGACATCTCTCACTAGGCTATCGTTTGATGAGGCTATGAAACCCTAAACCCTAAACCCTAAACGGTGATGTGACAGTATGGAAAAGACCACTCCTAGCACCGAGGGGCGTTGCCATGTCCTTCCCGCGACTACCGCAGCCGGCAGGAGCAGCTCGCCCTCTTTGCGAGACTCCATGGGCTCAATCAGGTAACATCAAGAAATGCTCAGCTAAAAAACCTTTGAAAAAGCACCAACAAGTACCAATACGATCCAATAAGGGCTTCCAGCTAAAGAAGGGCCTTCGATATCTGTGCTCATCATCGCATCGAGATTCCATCTTCTGGATCCATGCCAAGGCCCCAGGTTCCAAGCTTTAAGTACTAACTCTAAGCCACCACCCAAGCCCCAGGTGCGGTCCAGGCTTGAACAGCGAGCTTTTGCATGCCATGCTCTGCTGACAAGGTCTCGTGTAGCCTTCCGATGAAGCACTCGGGGCTGCGAAAGGCTGGTGTTCGTCGAGACAATGTGGGCAAGCGCCTACAAGCTGGGGATTAGAGGATATGTCGACTCTCGTTCGATCGGGGGCTGAGCATCTAGTAGCTTCACTGGACTTGGAGTCACCGGGTTTTGCGCGAACACCATGCATCTTAGGCCTTAGGCTGCCATTTTGGATGCCGAGATGTACTCCTGATCTGCCTACTTTCAGTTGCAGCCTGAAGAGCGAGACCCCCAGGTAGCAAGACAGCAAAGGCACTGAGCTGCAATGCAGTAGCAAATAAGTGTCCTCCCAATCTACCAGGGCCAGCAGCTTGCAATCGCCACTGCCCGGAGGCCCTTCCTGCTCTCAAGAGCACATACCAGGATTACTGTGGACCGTCTCTCAATGATGGGAACCACCATGCAACCACGTAGATGAGTATCATGCAGGCAAGACTGATCCACTGCTCCACCCCGCTCTTGAGCACTGTTCCGCTCCCATCGCGAACAGAGTGACGCCTGGAACTCAACCGCGTGGCCTCGTACAAGGTGTTGTCGAGGAAAGCATCACCTCGGCGAAGGCTACCATTGGACGTGCCACCATATCTTCTGCTGATGCACCTGATGGCCTTGCACGAAGTGGCAACGAGACGGGGACGGCACCATGGATGAGGCCCCATGGCACCTGTGGTAGGATTCCATACTCCCCGTACCTGTTCTTGTTCTACAAGAACTCTTCCAACGATATCTCTTCGCTGCCATTCCTGCTTCCTTGTCTTATCGCTCCCTCATCCTCGAATCTGTGGCTGTTGCCTCTACAGTGCCGATGCCGCTGCTGGCGGGAGTGCCGGTCTGGCTGTGGCAGTTGCCGTGACGGCGGCGCTGGCTGCGCGTGGGTGCAAATGCTGCAGCTGGTGGTTGTGGCCGGAGGCGGTGGTCGGCAGCAGCAGCAGCAGTAGCAGCAGATAGCACTTCCGACATCCTCGTCATCACCCGTCAACAAACTGAATTGTTCATCCTTCTCGTTAGTCCTACACAGCATCATGGCTATCACTGTCCCGTCATCATCACCATCGTCATCCGGATTCCTGACTGGTCATGAATACAAGAAACCTATCAATGTCTGGAGCAACAACACGGGCAGGACAAGTTCAACAACGGCAGAAGCAGCAGAGGAGCCCACAACAATACCAAACAATCAACAAATCAAAGGTTCGGCCAACCAATCAGTCCATGCATTCACCCATGCATTCATCTAACCGTGCTTGACAAGTATTATCATTGATCACTTGAGGTCGATATCGGTTGTGGATACTAGTTCAGGGGACCCACACAGCCTAAGTGATACCAGACTTCAGGTGGAACCCGGGTACACACATGAGCCTGCCTCTGAGGCATAGGTCGCCCTTAGCCAAGGCGTTAGCTTGTCCACAAAAGCCACGTAAGGATGATCCTTGAAGCGCTCATTGGCCTGAAATAACAAGAGGGAGGAGGAGAAGGAGAAGGACAGGAAGGTTGACAACCAAAAGCTCATGAACCGTATAGAGCTTATGCTTGCAAAAAAGCATCGAGAAATGCAAGTTTGCAATGGCAACCGGAAATAGTAGCTAGCTTGCCCAAACAACAAGAAGCAAATCACAATTACGACGACAGCAAAGCTGCACCATCGATGACACTGGGTGTTCTAGATTGATGGTCAGGAGTATGAGCAGCAGGAAGAAGCACAGCACGAGTAGGAGCAGCCGTTGCAGCAGCAGCGGCTAGCCCGGCGGCAGGTTTGCAGCAGGACAACAGATAGCAGCATAAGTAGCAAACGAAATACCAATACCAGTCCTGGCAGTCATGTGGAACTCCAACAAGCCTGCTTGGATCCAAAGCCATTTTATTTCGCCCTCTCAATGGACAAGAGATCATGCCGAAATGGAAGCCCCTGCCTTCAAGGCTTCAAGCTCCTGGCAGCTTAGTGGCACTTGGACATCTTAATTCTTATGGCGGCGATTCGACACTCTACTACTCATGGCAGAATGGTACTAGGACGACGGCGACATCAGCAGCAGCAGCAGCACTAGTGTCTTGTGTAGTAGTAGTAGTAGTAGTAGTAGTAGTAGTAGTAGCAGGTAGTAGTAGCAGGTAGTAGTAGCAGGTAGTAGTAGCAGTAGCAGTAGCAGTAGCAGTAGCAGTAGCAGTAGCAGTAGCAGTAGCAGTAGCAGTAGCATCAGTAGCAGTAGCAGTA